GATACACAACTTTTCATCTGAAAGAAACCTAAACATAATAGTGGTAGAAGTGCCACACTGCCTTCACAGCTACTTCACTCCAAACAAATCTACTCCCATAATGCCAAGAGGGTGATTTCAGTCTTGTATCTATGATGAGCTTTCATATATAGATTAATTTTCCAGGTTTGGCTTTCTCCCAGGTGTGAGTTCTTATAAAACAAACAGCAGTACTCACTTTTATTGAAAGACTAGAAAATGTTATTTTAATTTCTTGAGCTTTGTATATCCATTGGCCAAAGTTCCGTACATCAGAAAGCAATGCTTTGTCTGAGAGCCCTTAGTAAGAAGTTTTTGAGAAGAGTCTAAAACACTTGTGAGTTTCTGACAATGGCATTTCATGCAAGCCTCTCTTACCTTGTGAGTACCTGCGTTTCCAGTTTCTGGACAGCTTTGGCATGGTGTAATTATGTCTTTTCCTTCCTTCAGGTTTTGTAAGTTACGACAATCCTGTCTCTGCACAGGCTGCCATTCAGTCAATGAACGGCTTTCAGATTGGCATGAAGCGTCTGAAAGTACAGCTCAAGCGCTCTAAGAATGACAGCAAGCCATACTGAGTGCCCCTCCCCTCCGGGACTGGAGTGAGAAGGATCTTCTGGTAAGTTGGAGAGGAGCGCACTTAGTGATTCGAAGCCCTAAGGCTGTGTTTTTACAGTCCTGGAAGCTGATTCATGCCTTCTATCTGGCACACCTTCCCCTGAAGACTCGGCTGCAGCCTCTGCTGAGAATCCCGCTTCGGATGGAGGACAAGTTTGTGCTTTTGTTTCCAGTGTTTTACTTTGGAGTTTAGGTGCCATATCACTGAGGGTTTTGTTTTTTTGTTTTTTGGTTTTTTTTTTCCTCCCTTATTTGAAGTTTGCTGTGTTTGTTATCGGTGTGTGTTGAGAAGGACCAATGCCAGCTCCTTGGGGATGGGGAGGCAAGGTTAAGGGGAGCAGCATAAACTGACACCACACTGCCTTGGGGGAGAGAGGAGAAGGGGAAGCAGAACTGACACCACGCTGCCATGGGGGAGAGGAGAAGGGAAAGCAGAATTAACTCAGAAGAGCTGATGGAAACAAAGATGGGGAAGGAAAACTGAGTCCATCCAAGTTTGGGTGAGCAAAGAACAGACTCCATGTAGCCTTTGTCACGCCCCATCCACTCTGAAATTTCCTTAACTGTATGCCATGGTGGGGATTTAGTAAATCATCTCTAAAGCAGGAGACAGGCTAGAAGGGTAAACACATTAACAAGCCAAAGGAAAACTGCAGTGATTTTTTTTTTTCTGTATATAGTGTTTATATAGCACTGTGAATGTACACAGCACTTTACAAAATTGTTAGATAATGTCCCTGCCCAGAAAATTTCACTATTTACAGTTGAGTATTAATGATATGCAGTGAATTTCTCCAGATTTAAGAAAACTTATCCTATGTACTTTATCACGGTTTTGTAGAAAGGTATAGAGAGAGACAGGTTAGTCTGGATGAATACATCTGGGACTGGAAACAAGAAACTTCTGATGCTTGGTAACTTGCAGAATTTTTTTTGATATTTTTTCTTCTTAACAGTTCATCACATTCCCCATTTCTGTGGAATAATGTGCTTTTTGCAGACTATTACTTTGAATTCATTCTCATATGCATAATGTAAGTGCTGTTTGTTTCTCTATTAAAATGACTGTTAAATTGAGACACAAAGCCCAGAGTTACCCTGACACAGCTCGAGGCTCATACACGTTCTCATAGGATTTGATTTCTCAGTCTTAACTCTGTTGCAAAGATAACTTTAAAAAAAGCCAAACAAACAGCAAACAAAAAACAATTTGTACAGTGATTTGGTCTAGTAATTAGGTATTTCTTTATGCTGCAGTTTTCCTTTAAGGTGGTGTGTACCAGTGCAAAACAGGCTAACACAGGAGCTGTGGAACCAGAGCAGAGTATTGACCCATTCAGTCTTATTCTGCCTGTTGGTACAAGCTGTTATCTTCTATACTGAAGGAAAATTGAACACACCCCTTCAGTGAACACACACTTTTTCTGCACACTTGTGAAATTGCTAATGCGTTGCTAAGGGCCTTTGTTATACACTGGTTTTAGGGGGCTCAAAGGACTTTTGACACTCTGGCCTGAGTTGTTTTAAGAAATCAGAATCCTGTTTTATAACCACCAAAATCCACCTCTGTCACAAGAGGAAGTTTACAATTTCTGTGTGTCTTTAACAGAAGTTCCATTTACCTCATATTTTCTCTTTTTCCTTGTTTTCTTTGTGTTCCTGGTTTGTGATGCTGTTTCCCAGGGCACCAGCCAACACTGCAGTCTGGGAGCCAGCTGCTAAATGATGATTGTGTGGGTCAGACACGGAGTTGGGGCTTTCTGTTCCGCTCCAGCAGGAGGAACGCTAAACCCATCAGACCTGAGATAGCCTTCAGAACCCACAGCCATGGGCAGTGGTCTGTTGGAGGTGGTCTGTTGGGAGTGTCAGGCATTCCCAGGGACTGGGTCCCCTGGGATCTCAAACCTCGTAAGTGCAAGGCCTGACACACAGCACCCAAGAAGAGCCCTTTCCATTCTTGAATTGAAAATCAGAGAGTTAGTTGATGCTGCTCTGTCTGTCTCGATGGCAGACAGGTAGATCTATCAGTATTATTTAAATAATTTGGTGGTGGCAAAGGTTCGAAGGCCAGATTGCCAAATTTCCAAGTTACGCTGGCATGTGGTACCCTTCTGTGTTAATTATTTGAATCTCTCTAGAAACGTAAACATACACTAAAGTGAACCATGTACACTTGAATTCTGCGTGATGGGAAAGATGTGTCCTGGTTTTCTGAGAAAAGAGTGTTGGAGTGTGAAGGCCTTCAGGGTGATAATGGAATTTTTTTTTTTTTTTTTATAAATAATGTACTTTTCAAAAAAAGGAAAAAATTAAAAAAAAAAACCCACATAGTTGGGAGCAGCTGCTCCAAGTGCAACCTGCTGTAACCAAGAATGTTGTTTCTATTTTTATAGAAGTTTTATACCGCTCCAGGGTGGAGAATATTTATTACCTAAATTATTTCACTGGAAAAAAAGGCCAGGGTTTTGTAGAATCCTGAATGTGATTGTTTTACACACATAATGATGTGCATGATTGAAACTACTGATTTTCAGTGGCCTGTTTGCAGCCCAACAACTGCTAAATGGGGAAGATGAACGCTGTGAACCAGTGGAGGAGAGCACTGTGCTCTGGGGTCTCTACAGTCACTCTTACCTTCTTTGCACCCTACCCCACTGTACTATCTGAGACCTTTGTCCTGCTTGTCTTTTAACTTGCTGCTCTGGCCTCTTTACTAGTCATTTCAGTTGCCCAAAATTAGGTATTTTAGCTTCTGCATCCTATATAATACTCAATACTGTAACTTACAGATCAAGCTTGGCATTGTTGCAAATAGGTGCAACTCCTATTGACTTCAGGAGATTCACCAGTTTACACTGTGGCTTAGTTTGATCAGTGACTCCTCCCATACACAATCACCTAAGACACCAAACTTGGGCTAGCTCTTGTGCCTTATTGGCATAACTGTAAGTATTGCCGAAAAAAAAACAATCTATGCAGGTTAAATTTTAAAAGATGTGATCCTCAGATGGTTTGAAGCAATGCAGTACTGCTCTCTTCAGTAGAGCTGCATCAGTTTTCACCAGCTGAAGATGTTGCCCTTTTTGTGTATTTGTTTCATATTTCCCTTTCTTGGTGTATCAGTGTATATGTTGCCAAAGTTAATAAATGTATCGAGTTTGTGACTTGGGCAGATTTTTTTCTGATAACAGAATTGATCAGATAAAGTCAACACTTCTGTGTCTGTTTGGTGACTGCCACTGACTCTGGAGATTTAGGCTCTTCTTGTCTTCCAGTCTTAAGCCAGTTTTCTTCCTCACTCATTGGCAGGAAAGTCTGGGGTTTTGGGGACTTGGGGCTTCTAAACTTTATTTTATTTTTAATTCCTATCATGCTCTCATTCAAGTGCAAATCAAATCAGTGCCAAATGCTTTATTTCCTAGATAGTAGGATAAGAGTTGGGTGAGTTCAAACAAACTGCAGAAGGATTGGCCTAAGTCGGCACATGGACAAAGTATTCTGTATGCTCATAAACCAAAGAATCTGAATTTTCTACAACAAAAGCTAGTAGGACTTCTGATTAAATAGAATTCCATATTACATGTGCAACCAGGAAGTACTTATATATTTTTAGAAACAAGATGGAAATGGCCTACTTCAGAGATCTGTCGTCTTTCTCAGAAGAAATTTGATTTTACTACATAATGCCATAATAAGACAAAAGTATTGTGAACATTTGAAGTCTTAGTCTGATGCTACTTAGTATCAAGGAGTAAAGGAAATCATAGATCCTTTGGTCCCCTAGATAATCAACAGTCCAAAATAGGGTAGCTCTTTGTAGTTTATTCTTCCAGTAATACAAAGCTTGCATTATTAGAAAATGCCTTTGCTATATAGTGATTGTATTTTAATCTAAGCAGAATGAGGATTGGAATTTTTCAAAAGTATCTGAGACAATGATGGTGAATATCTCTGTATTTTAATGTTAAGGCAGCTTACTACCTGTGAGCGCTACTATCTGGAAAATAGGTTCCTTAAAATTTCTCACTGGCAAATACATCTATAAAGAAAAAGCTTTTAATCTGAATACTGAAGGTCACAAAGCATGATAGATTCTGCTTGTGTGATAGAGTTAACTAAAGTGTTTCTTCTTATTAATGGTTGTGAGTTAGGGAAACACAGTCAAGCAGAATGAAATTTTTCTATTTCATTTGGAAGTATCTAAAAGCAACTTGGATAAAGCCAATTGCAAATGAAGGCTGCAACTGTGAACACGTAAAATGCTTTGAGAGCTTCTTGTTGCAAACATTTAAACATAAGGATTGTTGTATATCCGTGAGCATACCTACCACAAAATGTAGAACACAGAAGGCAGAACTATCACAGTTGTGAGAATAAAACAAGGACAAACCGGCATAACATTCCCCAAGTCATTAAGTTCTTATCCAGCATCTCATGGCTCTGCTCTTGTAGGCCAGTCCTACCTCAGGACTTTCACGAAACTTAGTCTTTCCCCTCAAAATTGCCGAGTGAAGTATTTGTAAAATCTCTTGTCAAAAAAACGCCAGACAACTCACACAAAGAATTTCTACAGTGCATGCTTAGATGTCACTTGATTTGATGCTGCTTGTTGTTTCTCATGCCTCAGTTCGCGATGAATTTGCCTTCCTTATTTAGGACTGAAATAGCTATCTGCAAATTATCTAGAGTATTTTCTAGAACTATAGAAATAACTGGCAAGAGTTGCATTGTATGCTGTTTGCTGGGGCTGGTTTCAACTCCATGCTAAGTCTCTTCCCTGAATTGGAAAGTATGAAGAGCAAATGAATCTCAGCAGTTCTAGTAAGTGGAGTGTTGCAGGTTTAGTGGACAACGAGCTTGTTGTTGCTTTGGAACCAGAATGCAACACTTGCCGTTCTCAAACATGCTATAAATGCTATGAGATAATACACAAGTCTCATCTTGCTCTAGTCTCTAACCAGCAGCTTTGATATGTGCTGCAGAATAAGGCCCTAAACAGGAGATACAGGGGAGTTGGGGGGCAGGGAGGGAGGAAGAAAAAAGAACACACTTGATTCCTCTCTCTCCCACCTCCCACATTCTTCCCAAAATGTTCCTTGTCTCTTGTAGTTCATAAGGTGAGGGGAGGAAACAAAGGTATCTATATCACTTATTATGAGAATTATTTTATGTATATACTCTTCAAGAAAGCTTCAGGAAACACATTTTTTCTACTCATCAAACTGGCAACAGTGACTGTAGAGCTTCTCAGAACCCAGAATCCCCTCCTCAGGAAGTCAGGGAGGTGGGGACTGTTTATATAAAAGGTTGGGAATGGAAAATCCCTGTGCAGGTCTAATGGTATGAAAAGTGCTCAGCTAGGACAAGTCTTAACTTGCAGTCAAGTCTTAAGGAATTCTTCTCTGATGCGTGGAGTTTTTGTCTTCTATTTTTTTTTTCTTCTCCTGTTCCAAATCACCTACCCCCAGTTTCATGGGCTCCTAGGGAATGAGAAAGGACTGTAGCTGAAGGGAAGAACATGGATTTCCTGGGCTACCACTGCCTAAGAACTTCCCATGTTAGGATGCAAGAAAAGTCTCAGCTGTCAAACCACCTGTGAATCCCTTGTGTCCTCTGTCTTGTCTCTCATGGTCTCAGTCTCTGTGGGCAAATTTTAGCCCTGGAGCTAAATTTTTTGCAGTCGGTCTCCTGGGGAGGGAGCTTGCTCTGGTCTTCTCCTAAACAGAGCTAGTGGAGACACTGGGCACGGGGCAAGGTGAATGTATGCTAATCAGTGTGTCACTAGGCTGTGGAGTGCTCCACAGACTGGGTGTTGAGAGGGAAGTCCAGGCCTCCGCTTCCATTTGGTTTCTGGCAGTTTGATGTTTACTTGGTGTCCTTCATGTACTTTGACTTTTACTTGTCCATCGTTGGCATGTGCTGCCCTTCCCTGTCAACCCCCTTCCCCAGGAGATCTCATTGTACAGTGCCCATTCTTGTTCTCTCTCTGTGTTTGGATGTACTGCTCTGTGTAACTCAGTGGGTCTCCCTCTTTCTGGTTTGTTTTTTTTTCTAGATTCCTGCCGTTTGTTCATCGTTGTGCCTAAAGCATGTCGATGTGGCGTTCAAGTACATCGTCCAAATCCTTGTCTCTTCAGCTTCTCTGATGCTTGAACTCTCACCTTTGACCTTGTGTTGACCTTTGATGCTGATGTGTATTTTTATTACGTTTGTTTCTTTTTTTTTTGTTGGTGGTTTTTTTTTTTTTGTGCTGCCAAATTGGTTTTGCTAGAAAGACTGCTGAAGGGGAATATTTAAACTTGCATTTGAATATAAAAGAATTTCTATTTTTCTAGACCTTCGTAAGATAACCACTTGATTTTGTGAATCTGATTCTTTGTAATTGTCTTCAGAGCAGCCTTGCTAGCATACCTTGTGGAGTATTTGTATTTCTGTGAACATACAGCCAATCACTTTCTAGGCTTAGTTTTTTCTGTGTGCTTAGTTTTAAAAACACAGTTTCGAAGAAAAAGTCAATTATATGGTGTGACTCAATCTTTCAGGAGACTTCCTAGTCACATTTTGCTGATCTGGTTTCTGTGCTTGAGGAGACAGCATGTGTTTTTATGAGTTCAAACTTGTGACTTGAGTGGCATCAGCAGAAAACACTTGAACTACATTTTCTTCTGATTGTAGCTACATTTTTGCTCTGGCATTTATTGATTTTTTTTTTTTAATTATTATTTTTATTTTTATTCCCCCCCTCCCCGCTTCCCTGTGTGATTATCAGTCTGCAGTGAAAATTTGATCAAATTTGATGTTGTATTTTGTTCAGCTCCAGCATGTTTGGGTTTTTTGTAACTACAATCTCCTCAGCAAAATGTGATGTTTTTGTTTTAATCTTTCAAACTAAGATAGTGCCCAGAAATGTTTTGCATGTTTCCTGCTGTTTTCTTCACACCCTCGTATATATCACCTTCACCTCTGTTTTCTATAGTTTGTGCAAAAACTGAGCAATTTAATGGGTTTCAAAGGTATCCTTTAAATTGGTGGTTTTGGTATGACAAATATCTGATCAGAAGCCACCTGAGGGCATCAACCTGTGCACTTAGACTGTCTGCCTGACAGAGCACCTGGACCTTGTCCAATCTCCAGTGCTGTCAGAGGCTCCCAGGGGGCTTGGTTGCACTGTTCCTGTAGTGGGAGGTTTTGGTGGAAGGGGACAGCTGGGGAGCAATAAGGTGGGGGAACTTCACAGTGTTTCTGTTTCTAAAGTTACCTGAAGCTAGGGCTGCTTTGAAACACTCTTTATGAGCATTTTGCATAATTCAGGGCACATTTTTGTGAAGTCCAGCCCCAGTTTAATAGCATCAGCCAGACGGTGGCAGGATCCTGGAAGGATCTGGGTTAGCTCTTGAAATAAAGTGTTTGAAATATCCCAGAGGAAGCATTTGTAAACCTGGTCCCACAACTGCTGGCTCTTTTTCCCAAGTGACAAGCACAATACAACAGCCTCTGAAGCTGTTACCTGAACAGGGTACCATCCCCAGCTCTCTTCTCAAGGGCCTTAGCTGGGGAATCTCTGCGGAGATTTTTTAGTTTTTTGTTTAGTTTTTAATTGGGTAATGAGCTAAGCAGTTTTTCTGGCTTGCAGGATGAACTAGAACAGGTTACTGCTTTCTGGGTAGCAGGCTTCCCCCTACCCTACCCATCTGCAGAGGTAGAAACTGGGATGTAGCTTCTAGATGAAGGCACCTGAAGAGTGTGTGCTGTGATGAAGTTTCAGTCAGAAGGAGACGCAAGCTAGTGTAGGTATCTTAACAGTAGAAAATAATGTGAAATGAAATCCCAGGGGAAGGGGTTTTGCTGAGAAAACAAATCGTGTTTGATTGGATAGAAATCTTATTTTTGACCAGTGTTTGGGGTAATGCAAAGGTGCAAAAGAATTTTTTGTCTGTCCTACTCCCAAGTTGGCTGAGGATAGCATATCC